TGCGTCGTTGGCCCCAGGTTTACAACGACAGCGGCTCCCGCCTGATACCTCTTCACAATTTATTGAAGAATCGCGCTCTCGCTGGGGACTTCCTTGCAATGTACCACCGGATCGCGGCTCCCGCTGGACACTTCCTCACCATTGATTGAAGAATCGCGCTCTCGCTTGGGACTTCCTCACGACTTACCACCGAATCGCGGCTCCAGCTTGATACTTCCTCACAATTTATTCAGATGCCGCTCCTGGACACTCAGGAACCGCGCTCCCGCTACATATTACCTGGCGGTCCAAGCAGAATTTACGCTTCAACGACCCGCCCTCTCGACCCGCCCGTTTGGGCCTGCCCGCCCGACCAGCCCGTTAGGGACTGCAGTCGCCGCTCGCTGCCCTTCGTCCGCCTTCGTTGCCCCTCGCTGCCCGTACTGGTTCCGCGGTCGCCTTCGCTCGCTGCCCTTCGTGGCCCCGTTGCTGCCCTCAGTGGCCCCGTCGCTGCCCATTGTGGCCCCGCATTATATGCCATTCGTGGCCCCCGCTCGCAGTCGCCTGTCGTGGCCCCATACGCATGCCCTTCGTAGCCCCGCTGTGTCCCTTTGTGGCCCCATATACGAATGCCATTCGTGGCCCCCGCTCGTTCGCGCCCGTCGTGGCCCCATATGCATGCCCTTCGTGGCCCCGCTGTCGCCCTTCGTGGCCCCCTCTCTGCCCTTCGTGGCCCCGTTTCTGCCCTCAGCGGCCCCGTCGCTGCCCTCTGTGGCCCCGGATTAATTGCCCTTCGTGGCCCCCGCTCGCTCGCGCCCTTCGTGGTCCCAGACGCATGCGTTTCGTCGCCCCGCTGTCGCCATTCGTGGCCCCCTCGCTGCCCTTCGTGGCCCACTTTCTGCGCTCAGTGGCCCCGCTGTCGCCCTTTCTGGCCCCATATTATGCCCTTCGTGGCCCCCACTCGTTCGCGCCCGTCGTGGCCCCATATGCTTGCCCTTCGTGGCCCCGCTGTCGCTCTTCGTGGCCCCCTCGCTGCCCTTCGTGGCCCCGTTTCTGCCCTCAGCGGCTCCGTCGCTGCCCTCTGCGGCCCCCTTATACGTATGCCCTTCGGGGCCCCCGCTCGTTCGCGCCCGTCGTGGGCCGCGCCAACAACGGCTCCCGCCTGATACTTCCTCACAATTTATTGAAGAATCGCGCTCTTGCTTGGGACTTCCTCGCAATTTACCACCGAATCGCGGCTCCCGCCGGATACTTCCTGACAGTTTATTGGAGAATCGCGCTCTCGCTTTGGACTTCCTCGCAACCATACGCATGCCCTTCGTAGCCCCGCTGTCGCCCTTCGTGGCCCTCTCGCTGCCCTTCGTGGCCCCTTTGCTGCCCTCAGTGGCCCCGCTGTCGCCCTTCGTGGCCCTCTCGCTGCCCTTCGTGGCCCCTTTGCTGCCCTCAGTGGCCCCGCTGCCCTGTGTGGCCCCATATACGAATGCCCTACGTGGCCCCCGCTCGCTCGCGCCCGTCGTGGCCCCATATGCATGCCCTTCGTGGCCCCGCTGTCGCCCTTTGTGGCCCACTCGCTCGCATTCCGCATTTCTCCCAAATTATTCCCAGTCCCTCCTCCAGATTCCTCCGTGCGCCCCCCGCTCCTCCGCACTCCTCCCGGTTCCTCTTCTCCACTCCTTGCCGCTCCTCTTCCTGAGGCCCTACTCTTGTCCACTCCATCCCAATCCACTCCACATCCCCGCGCTCCTCTCGACACGGCTGCAGTTCCCATTATCCTTCCGCCCCACTCTCCCAACACCCCGCTTCTTTTCAGGGTTCCACGAAATTTTGTTTCTGTCACCAGTTCGCAGCTGTACGTCCCCCCGTGGGTGTATCCACGATATGTTCTTTCAAGGGGATGGTACGTGGCGCTGTTTATGGCGCGACCCATGGCGAAACTTACTGTTAACCTGTGATGGAGTGGCTGGCGCAAACCATGGCGCAAGCTGAATCGCCACTCGCAACGCAAATCATCGTCCTCCCTCCTTCTTGCCCCTCCCCTCCCTTCCTCCGATCCCTTCGTCCTCATTCTCCCCCGTTATCTGTTTGCCCTTCGTTTTCAAGGGCTTCACCAACCACGCGTGGCAGGGGCAAATCTACTCCCCAAAAAGGGGGCGCGATCGAAGACGAAGAGGGAGGGTGTCCATGGTTTGGGATATGCATATTGAGTGACACGCGAGCAAATAAAAGCGAACAGTCTTAAACTTATTGTTGTTGTTGTTGTTGTGGTGGTTGTGGTTGATGTGGTTGCTGGTGTTGCTGCTGTTGTTGTTGCTTCCCATCTTTAGAATATCGATCTGTGATTGTTGTTTTTGTTTTCTCTCGCCCGCGACGCGAAGAGGCCAGGGGGCCTCCATCTGCAGCTCACGCGATGCGAAGGAGAGAGCTCTCCCCGCCGCGCGCGGCGGCTGCGGCGCGCCTGGCAGCGCCGCGCCTCCCTCCTCGGCACCGCCGCGGCGCCCGCCGCGACGGCAGCGAGCCTTGAGAGAAACCGCGGCGCGGCAGGGGCCGTCCGCGGGCCTGTCCCTCTACGGGATAAGTATTCGAGAATATAGTAAAAACGAGCCGGCAGGGGACGATTTTTCGACAATTTCCCAGCATTTTCTGAATGTTTTGAAAGCTACCTTTGGTTTCGTCGGGCGCGCGCACGGCGCCGTTTTTCAGGGCCGTCCGCACGCGCGCTCGGGCACGCCTTGAGTCGGGCCTGTCCCTTTACAGGAGGGATATTTTCTGTGCGTCAGGGGGGCAGAGGCCACCTCTCTCTTTAGGACTCCCCGTGGGGGAGACTGCGCTCTGGTGGGTGCGCGTGCGCAGTGTCGGTGCCGAGTGTCGGCGCCGAGAGTCGGTGCCGAGTAACGTTGCCGAGTGTCGGAACCGAGTATCGGTGCCGATCGTCGTTGACGCGCCGAGTATCGGCGCCGATCGTCGTTGACGCGGGGGGTTTCGAAAGAGCTGCCCCCCCAGACACACAAGGGATATTCAAACATAGTTTAAAACAAATCGTCAAGGGACGTTTTTCGACTATGTTTAAGCATTTTTGTTTTTTTTGGCTATTTGAAAGTTTTCGTCCAAGCTCCGCCTGTAGGAGGACACGCCCGACCTAGGGCAAGCCGGGTGACGGCATCGGGAATGGCCCTGATGCGCGAAGAGAACGAAGAAGCGGCGGGGAACACCCGTGCGAGCGGAACATCCGATTCGGGTGAGCTGGCCCGAAAGCGCTTCAGGGTGCACCGGCAGCTGGAGCCGAAGCCGCAGCCGCAGTGCACGGAGAGAAGTGGCAGGAGCCCACCCTGCAGGTTTGGCTGGCAGCACATCGTTGAGCGGTGCTGCAGCCTCCCCTGAAGGGAAGAGGGGAACGGCCGCGGGATCTGCCGTGCCTCTCTTCTTGCCCTCCCTGGTTGCGCAGGTCTCCTGTGGGCCCCCTTCAGCCTCCCCGGCTGGGGCCTCCCCCTCTGGGAGTCGTGACCGGGGGGGGGGCTCTCCACCCACCTCCAAGGCGTGAGCGGGCCCGCGCGGTGGCGGCCCGCGGTGTTGATTGGGGCGCTTCAGGCACCGACCGGTGTTCCCACGGAGCGAAGCGAATCGAAAGAGGGCGAGGTTCGCGGCAGCGAGCACGCCGTGTCGTGGGCGAAGGGGCAGGCCGGCCGGGTGCGGGCGCGGGCGCCGCGGCAGGCCTCGCAGTGGCGCGGTCCAGGAAGGTCCTGCCTTCAGCGCACCCGCGCCCGCGGCGGAAGGCGACGGAAGGCCAGCGGGAGCCCAGCGTCGGATATCAAATCTGGCGTGCACGCAAGAGATCCATAGCGAAAGGAACACACAAACGCAGTTCATCGGCGACCCCCAGGAAAAGATGGGAGAATGCGGGAAGCGCGGGGGGGGGAAGACAACAACCTAGAAGATGTGGGACAATTTGGGGAATCTTAGGATCTGTGTGTATTTATTTGTGTGTCCCTGGGCCCCTTCAAGAGAGTGACCTTCCGCCGGAGTGACCTGTGGCGCGGGCCCACTGGGGTCCCGCGGTCGCCGAATGCGATGCGACAGCTGCCTCTTGCGCGCTTGTGTGCGGTCCCCCCGAAAAACCGCGCACCAGAGACCCTTTTACCCAGGGTCACTCTTGCGTGTATTCGACAATCGCATGAACATAAGCATAAACTTTCCGAGGTCCTCGCGGGTTTCTTGGATCTGTGCTGGGCCCACCTGGCGGCGCTGCCGGCGCCGCCCCTGGCGCGCTCCGCGCGCCAGGGAGGGCCCAGCGCATGTGCAGGAAGTCCGCGCGGAGCTCCGAATGTTTATATGCGGACGCACAGCGGCAGCGGGTCCGACGGCAGAAGCTCGGCAGAAGGCGTCGGAAGCAAACGTGGGGCGTCAACACTTCGTCGGTGCAGGGTTTCGGGAATCGGCCATTCCGATTCGATCGACCCGATTCGACATCGGTCTGGCCGGGCGCGATCTGATCCGAGTTCGATGTGCTGGCGATCCGACGCGGCCCGATGCTCGCATGGCGCCGCCGTGCACCCTTGCATCCTGGCGCGGCCGACCCGATTCGATTCCGACCACGTGCCGCTGCGGTCCGATTCGATGCCTGTTCCGAATAAGTTCGGTTTTTCGATTCGATGCTGACGGATGCTGCCTTGAGGAGGAAGGCGCCCTCCGAAGTCGCCAACGTGCGGGTTGGCGAAAGCGTTGGTCCGAATGGCAATTTGGTTAGCCGCCTCCTCCCCTTCGTCCTCCTCCCCCCCTCCCAGTGGTCGTGGTCGTCGTGGTGGTGGTCGTCGTTGTGGTCATCGTGGAGGCGGTGGTTGTCATCACCGTCGTCGTCGTCCTCCTCCTCCTCTCCTTCCTGTGGTTGTGGGCGTCGTCGTCGTCGTGTTCGTCGTCGTCGCCGTCATTACTGTCGTTGCCCTCCTCTTCCTCCTCCTCCTTGTCCGCCTTCCTCCTCCTCCTCGTCCCCCCCCCTCCCCAGTGGCCGTGGTCGTCGTTGCCGTCGCCATCGTGCTCCACTCTTTCCCCCCTTCCTCCAAGCGAGCTCCGGAATGGACAGGCCCTCTCCCGAGGCCGAATTCGGAGCACCTCCAGCGGCATGACTGGCGGCGCATTCGAAACGCCCCAGTTTGGCGACATGCGGCAGTTTTGCGTCGCTAGGGCAACAGCGGCGGCGTGTTTGTCACCGCCCAGTAGCGCTTAGTTGTGTCTAGATCGCGGCGGCTTGCGCCGGTCCCCTCTGGTTGTCCCCACAAGACGGCTCGTTACGGTGTCCCGGGCTGCCAAGGAGCCTCACGGAGGGCGAAATGGATGATGATACTGATAATGATGATGATGATCATGATGATGATGATGATGATGATGATGATGATGATGATGATGATGATGGTGGTGATGATGATGCTGATGATGATGTTGATGATCATGATCGTGATAATGACGATGATGATGCTGGTGGTGGTGGTGGTAGTGTTGCTGATGATGATGACGATGACGATGACGATGATTATGATTATGATGATGATGATGATGATGATGATGATGATGAGGATGAGGATGAGGATGAGGATGAGGATGAGGATGATGATGATGATGATGATGATGATGATGATGATGATGATGATGATGATGGTGGTGGTGGTGGTGGTGGTGGTGATGACGATGTTGTTGTTGTTGTTGTTGCAATTGTTGTACTTGTAGTTGGCGTTGTTGTTGCTGACGAAACCATTCGCTGTGGCGCCCCCCCCCCGCCGTGGCGCAACGCAACGCAACGCAACGGACCCTCGCGCAACGCAACGCAACGCATCGCAACGGACGCAGGGGAGGAGGAGTGTAGCAGGACAGGGAGGGGGAGCAGCAGGAGGAGGAGAAGGAGGAGGAGGAGGAGGAGGACGCAACCGTTGTGGTGCTCCTGTGCGTCCCTGTCGTCGTCGTCATTGCCCTCTTTGTCTCCCTGTCTGTTTGTCTGCCGCCGCCGCCGACGACGACGACGAAGACCACGACGACGACGACGACGACAACGACCTTGCGGTTCTGTTGGCGGTGCTGAGACCGTCGTGGGCATGGGGGGTGGGGAATGTGAGGAATGTGACTACTGCTATTATTACTTCTAGTACAACGGCCACAACTACAACTACTACGATGATCATTATTACTACTCCTACGACTACTACTATCACTACTGCTAACACTACGACTACGACTACTACAGCGATTGCTACTACTATTAATACTACTACTCCTCCTCCTCCTCCTACTATTACTACTACTACTTCTACTTCTACTACTCGTATTATTACTACTACTACTGCTGCTACTACTACTACTACTACTACCACTACTACTACAACAACTACTACTACTACTACTACCACTGCCACTACCACCACCACCACCCCTACTACTACTACTACTACTACTACTACTACTACTACTACTACTACTACTACTACTACTACTACCTACTACTATTACTACTACTACTACTACTACTACTACTACTACTACTACTACTACTACTACTACTACTACTACTACTACTACTACTACTACTACTACTACTACTACTATAGTTATAACCACTACTACTACTACTACTACTGCTACTACTACTACTATTATTATTATTATTATTATTATTACTATTATTATTATTACTACCATCATTATCATTACTACTATTACTATTCCGATTTTTACTACTACCACTACGACTACAGCCAGTACTGCTGATACTATTCCTGCTACTGCCACTACTGCTGCTAGGGTGGACCTTATTCTGTTTGCCCCAGGGGGCCTCTGGGATTCCTTTGGGTTCCTGGTGGTTTGGGGCTGTTTTGGGTGTCCTGGAGGCCTTCTTGGGCGTCCTGGAGGCCTTCATGGGCGTCCCGGAGGCCTTCCTGGGCGTCCTGGGGGCCTTCCATGGCGCCCCGGAGGCTTTCCATGGCGTCCAGGAGGTTTTCTTGAGCGTCCTGGAAGCTTGGGCGTCCTGGAGGCCTTTTTGGCCGTCGTGGAAGCTTTCTTGGGCGTCCTGGAGGCCTTCTTGGTTTCCGTATGGTGATATTTTGTGTATGGTATTAGTGTGGTTTTCGTATGATATTCATATGGATTTCGCATGGTGCTCTTATGGCTTTCGCATGGTAATCTCATGGTTTTAGTATAGTAATCATATGGTTTTCGGATGGCTCTATTATGGTTTGCGTTTGGTTATATCGTAGTTTTCGTTTGGTATTCGTATGGTTTTCGGGTGTTAGGCTGAAAAGGTCTTCACATGGTAATAGTATGGCATTCGTATGGTAATTGTATTGCTGTCGGATGGTAGTCGTGTGGTATTCATGTGGTAATTTGATGATTTTCGTATGGTCGTTTTTTTTTTTTTTTTTGTTTTTTTTTGTTTTCTCTTTTTTTTTTTTTCCCCATATGGTATTATTTAGGTGTTCGTATGGTAATCTAATGGATTTCGTATGGTAACCTCATGGCTTTTGCATGGCCGCCGTATGGTTTTCTTAAGGTTTTCGTATGGTAATATTATGGTTTGTTCGTATGGTTTCCCAATGGTAGTCCTATTGTGTTCGTGAGGTTTTCTTATGGTACTATTATGGTCTTCGTATGGTAGTCTTATGGCTGTTGCATGGTAATCTTATGGTTTTCGTATGGTAATCTTATGGTTTTCATATGGTAGTCGTATGGTTTTTCGTATGGTGTTCTTATGGTTTTCGCATGGTACTCTTATGGTTTTCAGATGGTACCCTTATGGTTTCCATATGGTAATATCATGGTCTTGGCATGGTAATCTTATGGTTTTCGCATGGTAATCTTATTGGTTTCGCATGGTGATCTTAGATGGTAATCTGATGGGTTTCGTATGGCACTCTTATGGCTGCCATCAGGTAACCTCAGGGTTTACATATGGTACTATTATGGCTTTCATATGGCAACCTCATGGTTGTCATTTTGTAATCTTATGGTTTGCATGTGGTAACCTTAGAGTTTTCACATGGTCGTTTTATCGTTTTCGCACGGTAAACATATGTATTCGTAGGGTATTCCTATGGTTTTCAGATGGTTTATTGTGGTGTTCGTATGGTAATCTCTTGGTTTTCGTATGGTCATCTTATGAATTTCGTGTGGTAGTCTTAGGGTTTCCATGTCGTAATCTCATGGCTCTCCTATGGTAGTCTTATGGTTTTCGTATGGTCGCCTGGCAGATCTGTGGTTTTCACATTGTGATTTTATGGTCCTCATATGGTAATCGTGTAGTTTTCGTATGGAACTATCGTGCTCGCATGGTAATCTCATGGTTTTCGTATGGTACTCTCATGGTTTATATTGTGACCGAGTGGTTCTCATATGGTACTCGTATGGTTTTCGTATGGTTATGTCATGGCTTTCGTATAGTGACCTTATGGTTTTTGTATGGTAACCGTGTGGTTTTCGTATGGCGATCGCATGGTTTTCATAAGGTCGCCTCGTGGTTTTGATTTGGTAATCTGATGGTTTTCGTATGGCAACTTCATGGTTACCATAAAGTAACCTCATGGCTCTCACTCGGTGATCTTATGGTCTTCGTATGGCAACCTTTTTTTGTTGTTCTATGGTAATAATGTGGTTTTCAAAAAGGTAACCTGATGGTTTTCGTATACTAGTATTTTTTTGATTTCGCGTGGACATCTCGTGGTTTTCGCATTTTCCCCCACATGGTGATCTTATGGTTTTCGTATGGTAATCTCATGGCTCTCATATGGTAATCTCCGGTCTTTCGCGTGGTGGCTTTGTGGTTTTTTGTACGGTGATGTTATGGTTATCGCATGGTGGTCTATGGCTTTCGTATGGTAGTCTTTTGGTTTTCTTACGGTAAAAAGTACCGTTCTCGCATGGTAATCTTGCCGCTGTCGTGTGGTGTCTTAAGGTTTTCAGATGGTAATCTTATGGTTTCCGCGTGGTAATAATATATCTTCCGCATGGTATCCTTCTGCTTATCATATGGTATTCTTATGGTTGTGGTATGGTAGTCTTATGGCCTGCGCATGGTAATCTCATGGTTTTCGTTTGGTAATGTTATGGTTTCCGTATGGTATTTTTGCGGTCTTCGTGTGGTAATTGTACGGGTTTCAGATGGTACTCTTATGGTTTTCGTATGGTACCCTTATGGTTTTCGCAAGGTAATCTTGTATGGTGTTCGCAGGGTAATCTTGTTTCGCATGGTAATACTATCGTGAATTGTTTTCGTATGGTGGTCGCACGGTTTTCCCATGGTAATCTTATGGTTTTGCAATGGTAATCTTATGGTTTTCGTATGGTAATCTTTTGGCTTTCGTGTGGTAACCTCATGGTTTTCATTTGGTACCCTGATGGTTTTCATGTGGTGCTCTCCTGGTGTTCAGATGAGACTCTTATGGTTTCATATGGTAATCTTTTTGTTCTTGAATGGTAATCTTAAGGTTTGCGTGTGGTAATCTTGTTGCTTTCGCATGGTAGTCACATGTTTACCGCATGGTAAACATAAGACTTTCGTGTGGTAGTCGTATGGTTTGCGCATTGTATTCTTATGGTTTTCGCAGGGTTTTCGCATGGTAATGTCATGGTTTCGGATGGTTTTCGCATGCTAATATGTTGGTTCTCGCTTGGTTTTCTTTTCGCAAAGTAATCTTATGGTTCCCGTATGGTAAGCTTATGGCTGTCGCATGGTAATCTTATGGGTTTGTGTGGTTTTCGCATGGTAGCCGAATGTTTTTCGTATGGTAATCTTGTGGTTTTTGTTTGGCAGTCCTTTGGTTTTCGCATGGTAATCTTATTGGGTTCCTATGGCTCCGTATTGTAATCTTTATGGTTTTCGTATGGTTCTCGTATGGTAATCTTACCGTTTTCGCATTGCAGCCGTATTGTTTGCGTACTCCCATGGTGTTCGTGTGGTAATATCATGGCTTCCGTATGGTAACCGTATGGTTTTCGTATGTTTTTCCTATGGTGTGCGACGGCTTTTTTCGTAACGTAATCGTATGGTCTTCGTATGGTAATCGTATGGTCTTCGCATGGGAATCGTGTGGTTTTCGCTTGGTAATCGTATGGTTTTCGTATGGTAGTCGTATGTTTTTCGTAAGGCAGTGGCGTGGTTTTCGGGCCCGGCGGGTCCCCCCTCAGGGTCCCCCATCTACCCTTCTTTTTTTCCAAGGAATAAATTCGGCAAGCAGAGTAAGGTCAGCCCTACTG